GGGGGGGGGGGGAGAGGGGCTTCTGTGGGAGGAGCAATTATGAAAGGGGTAGAAGAGACAGTCCAAAATTTGGGTTATAAAATAGAAGCAGGAAAATAAAATTTAATTTTCTCATTCCCCCTTAATATTCCTAGAGCTGGTTGCAGGAAAACGAGATTTGAAAACTATAAAAATTGTTTTACAAATGAAAGGAAATATGGTAACTTTTCCCACATACATATACTTAACACATACAGCTGAACTGGGATTTGAAAGTTGATATTAAAAGATCAAATAATCAAAAATAAAATAACAAAATCAAAATTGCCACTAATTAAAATGGTATAAAACAGACTTAAAAGTCACATAAAACTTCACAATTAACTAACAACAACTAGTAATTGTAAACAATAAGTTTTATTTTGACACTATATGTAAAAATGTCTTAGGCACTAAAAATATGTAAAAATTATGTTATCCTCTTATTCTCTGTATGCATGAAGTATTTCATAACTGAAAATTAAAACGGACTTACTTTTCAACACAATCAAAACACTAAGATTGGGAGAGATCAGAAGGAATAAAAAAAGCCCAGTGTAGCATATGCAGAAAAACAAAAGGTTGAATGATAAACTATAGCATTTTAACACGGTTAAGTTAATGAGGCCATGAGAATTTAGCACTGGGTTAACATCCAGTTTTTTACACCAGGACACATCAAAAATGAACTAGTCTTGGTAAAAGCCTCCAGAAAATTGTGCGTGTAGATAACAGAGAGAAAAATATCTGAGAAAAAAGTTTGTCTTCTTTTCCTTCTAGAAGGAGTTGAAAGAAAGATTCTCTACCCAAAGTCTTCTAGAGTTTTTATTTCTTAAAAAAAAAAAAAGGAAGGGATTTCCCTGGCGGTCCAGTGGTTAGGACTCTGCGCTGTCACTGATGAGGGCGTGGGTTCAATCTCTGGTCAGGGAACTAAGATCCCACAAGCCACATGGTGTGGCCAAATAAATAAATGAAGGTTTTATTTCAAGATGCGCATCTTCTGTATTTCAAACAAGAAGTCACAACGTTAAAATCTTCTTAAAATTATTCACAATCAAATTATAATACTTCTGATATATAAAGAGGAAAAAAAAGGTCAGAATGGTGAAGACCAGAAGAAGGAAAAAGAATAAAAGCTGTAAAGAGGATTAGGATATATTAACATATACTTCTGCTGAAATTACAGAAGGCAGTTTTGAAATCTTTTTCGAAAAAGACTACCAAGTTCTTTTAGAAAAGATATCTTCAAGTGAGCATTCAAAATAGGGGATTTTCAGCAGCAATACTAGACAATATACAGGTTCAAACTCTTAGGTGGCCTTTAAATAACTAGAGGGCAATATATATGACTACTTAAATATATTAGAGCAATTGTTTTCACAGTTTTCCAATCGTAGCGTAAACTACATATCACTGAATTTAGGTTAATTTAAGATTTTTCACATAATTTGTAAACCTAACACTGAGCATTACCATCTAGCAAAATTACACATGTATATGTTAAAATACAAACTTTTTAGCCCTCACTGAAGAAATTTCACTACATCCAGTGGCTGTAAAGAAACGCAACTCAAGGTGAGGCAGAAGAGAGGCTCTCAAAATTTATTCACTTAGGGCATACACGAACAATGAAACAGCAAATTTTCATACATATATTATTACACTTGTGCCCATTTCAGTGTTATAAAGCTTTACAATTGTGTTTGTTTCAAGAGTAACTTGAAAATGAAAATTGCTCTTGAACATAATTCAAAAGCTCATTAAAAGTAATAATTTTAAATGTAAGCAAAAGATAGGAGGGCCTTTTAAGTTTTCTTTGCAAATTATATTCAACTAAAGAAGCCTTCTTTAACTCCCTGACAAGTCAAGGTCCCCCAATACTTCCTTCTTATCACAACTGTAATTACTTGTTTCCACGTTAAACAAATAATTACACAAATAAATGTTTATCTCCCTCTGGACTGCAAGCTACAAGAGAGCAAGGGCTGTTTCAGTCTTGCTCAGGGCCCCTGGGAGCACCTAAGTATTGTAATTATTTGTTTAAAAAAAAGAGGAAAAGGTTCCAAGTTTAAGAATGAACATGTGTGTCCTCACTTTCTTTTATAAATTAAAACAACTCGATTTCTGACTTTAAATGTATTTATTCAAAGTAACTTTTTTTTTTTAAAATAAACCTAGCTTGGTCTATAAGCCAAAAGTCTCAAGCAGTTTACAGAACCGGGTGAGCTTTGGGAAAGCAGGTACTATTAAGGAGAGCACACAGTAGGCGCTCAACATAAGCTTGCTAAGGTGAACCGAGTAAATGAATACTACCATAAAATAAGCCAAGTGAGATCAAATCTAGAGAAGATCGCCAACACACACAAAGCTAAACGCCATCGCGCCCACGCTGGTGCTTCCCACTAACTGTGGTGAGAGTACTCAGATTTCCCTCCCTCCTCTGCTTCCTAGGCCATTTCAACATCCCAAAGCCGTAAGTTTCCAGAATAGCTTGGTGAGGGAAACGAGACCCAATGCTTAAAACAGCGCGCAAGAAACTACTGCCTTTTGCATTGAAAACGTCCTCCCCTCCAACGTCCTTCTCTTTTTCTCTCCCATTCTATAAATGTCAACATCAAGGCTGAACTGGGGTCAGGAAATCGCAGAATATCACCGTATGCAGGCTAAAAAAATCACGGAGTTTATCAAGCTCCTGATCAACACTGGAAGAGAGTGACCAAGTTCCCCAGAGCCCGGAACTGGGTGATTCTTGGGTCACCCCACCTGAAAGGAAGCGAGGCTGCCCGGGAGGAGCAGAGGGGCTGGCTACCTTGGAAGGGGAGGGGGAGGCGGGCCCCCGCAGAGGCGGGGTCCGAGTACCCAGCCAGGGCCCCCACAGCCGATCGAGGATCTCGGGCAGAGGCTCCGATAGGGCCAGGAGAACGCGCCACCACCCGCAGGTGCTCTGGCATCGCCGAGACCGGGAAGGTGCGGCGCAGCCCAATAGTCCTCGACCCCGCAGCGGCCAAACAGGCCTAACCCGGCCCCCCCGCCCTGCCCGCCTGCCCCCTCCAGCTGCTCCCTGCAGCCCCTCCCGCGACATCTGGCCCGCCGTTGGCCGTCCCGCCGCGCGCTCCGGGGGCGAGGGCTGCAAGCGAGCGCGCTGGCCGCCGCGCACTCACCATTGTCATCGCCGCCGCCGCGTGCCCCACACTTCACTCCTCTTCCCTCAGGAGAACTCCCAGCCCCGGCTCCCTCCGCGCAGCGTCTTCGTCACGTGACTTCGGGCAGCTCGCCGCACGTGACCCCTCCCTTCCCTTCCTCCCCTTCGCCCAGCACTGGCCCCCTCCGGGCCTCTCGCCCCGCCCTACTGGTCAGCCTGGCGCTCCGAGGAGAGGCCTTTGGAGGCGGGGCCTCGTGCTCCACCCCACGGCGGAGGGGGTGGGGTCACTGAGTGTCGTCGAGTGGGTGGGGCCAGGGCGGACGTAGGCTCCCCAGCTCCTCCGCGCCCTCTTGTCTGTCACGTGAGGGGCGGTTCGCTGACCGGTGGTTCGCTGACGGGCTTTTTGCCACACCCAGTTCCACTTCCAGTGGAAGTTTGAGCAGCTGGGAAAGAGAGGAGGAAAGAGAAGGTTCGTGCGGGAGGCCATCTCTGCGGGTGGGTTACTAGGCCGAGGAGTTGAAGGGCCCGCTGTTACCCGAGGCCCTGATTCGTTAGGCCTCGCAAGAGACGTGCTCTCTCAATTCGGGGATGAGGCATTCTGCCACCGTTCTCGAACTCTACCCAACTTCCTTTCTTTCCCTCAGCTTTTGAGATTTGAGAACTCAGAAGCTTTGTCACCAATGAGGAGACCAAAAAAAAAAAAAAAGGGTACTATATCCGTTGCCTCGTAAAGTACACAGATAGTTCCTGAACTATCCGCCCCTTAGCTGTGGAGGACTGAGAAATCACTTGTACCGCCCTGCCATTCCGTGAGGGGTGGAAGGCGTTCCTGAAAAGCGCAATGATGCTGCTCAAAAATACTCTGCCTTGGGCTTCCCTGGTGGCGCAGTGGTTGAGAGTCCGCCTGCCGATGCAGGCGACACGGGTCCTGCCCCGGTCCGGGCATTCCGTGAGGGGTGGAAGGCGTTCCTGAAAAGCGCAATGATGCTGCTCAAAAATACTCTGCCTTGGGCTTCCCTGGTGGCGCAGTGGTTGAGAGTCCGCCTGCCGATGCAGGCGACACGGTTCCTGCCCCGGTCCGGGAAGATCCCACATGCCGCTGAGCGGCTGGGCCCGTGAGCCATGGCCGCTGAGCCTGCGCGTGCGGAGCCTGTGCTCCGCGAGGGGAGAGGCCACAACAGTGAGAGGCCCGCGTACCGCAAAAAAAAAAAAAAAAAGTACTCTGTCTTTAAAAGCAGCCTAATCACTGTGGTGTAAGCCTAGAGGACGGGCCCCTGAATGTAATACTGTTTTTTTTTCTTTTTTCTTTTTTAACATCTTTATTGGAGTATAATAGCTTTACAGTGGTGTGTTAGGAATACTGTTTTAAGATCTCAAAACTTAGCGTTGAGCCAGCGCAGTCCGCTCTATACATAACCGAAGCAGAAGAAATTGAGTCTGAACCTACCGGTTTTCCCATCATAACAAAACAGCATCAAGTTTGTGAGGCAAGGTCTTAAAGCGAGTCTCAAATGTAAAAGGCTTGAAGTTAGAGTTTGGTCTCTAACCACAGCAGAATTGAACTAGAAATAACAAAAAGCCAGAAAATCCACAAATGTTTGGAAGGTGAGCAACATAATTCTAAACCTCTATGTCAAAGAATATTTCAGTGGGAATTTTTATATAGTTTGAACTATATGAAAATACAACATAGTAGAATTTATGGGATGCAGTGAGCGGTGTTTAGAGAGAGATCTGTAGCATTAAATGCATGTATTTGAAAAGAAGAAAGGTTTAAAATATGTAATCTGTGTTCGCCTCGGGAAGTTAAAAGCATATTTAGCATGTGGAGGGGAGCAGGGGATACATGGGAATTCTGTACTTGCTATGAACCTAAAACTGCTCTGAAAAATAAAGTCTATTTAAAAAATAAAAAGCGCTCACATATATGGTCAAGTGATCTTTGACAAAGGTGCAATGATGACTCAATGGGGAAAGGACAGCCTCTTCAACAAATGGTGTTGGGAAAACTGGGTATCCATGTGCAAAAGAATGAATTTGGACCATTATCTTATACCATATACAAAAATTAACTCAAAATGGATTAAAGACTTAAACATCAGACCTAAAACTATAAAACTCCTAGAAGAAAACATAGGGGAAAATCTTCAGGTCATTGCTCTTGATAATGATTTCTTGTTTATGACACCAAAAGCACAGGCAACAAAAGCAAAGATAGACAAATGGGGCTACATCAAACTTAAAAACTTCCATTGCAGGGGGCACAGGGAACTAAGAGTCCCACATGCCCCACTGTGCGGCCAAAAATTTTAAAAAAAACAACTTGTGCATCAAAGGACACAGCAGAGTGAAAAGGCAGCCTATGGAATGGAGAAAATATTTGCAAATCATATATGTGAGAAGATACCCAGAATATCTAAAGAACTCCTACAACTCAGTAACAAAAAAATCAAACTGATTAAACAGTCCAACAAGCATATGAAAAGATACTCAGCATCACTAATCATCAGAGAAGTGCACGTCAAAATCACAAGATGTCAACTCACACTCATTAGGATGGTTAATATTTGGAAAAAAGAAAACAAGTGTAGGTGAAGATGTGGAAAAATCAGAACCCTTATGCACTGTTGGTGAGATTGCAAAATGGTACAGCCCCTGTGGAAAACAGTATGGAGGTTCTTCAAAAAAGTGAGAATGGGACTACCATATGATATAGCAATCCCAGTTCTGGGTGAATATCCAAAAGAATTGATAGTAGGGTCTCAAAGAGGCATTTGCATACTCACGTTCACAGCACATATGAACGTTCCTGTTCATTCATAATTGTCAAGAGATAGAAGCAACACAAATGTTCATGGACAGATGAATTATAATCTTTAAAAAGAGGAAAATCCTGTCATATGCTGCAACATAGATGAAACTTGAGGACATTATGCTAAGTGAAATAAACCAGTCACAGGACTTCCCTGGTGTCCCAGAGGTTAGGACTGCACACTTCCACTGCAGGGGGCACGAGTTTGATACCTGGTCAGGGAACAAAGATCCTGCATGCCTCACGGCACAGCCAAAAAAAGAGAAACCAGTCACGAAAAGACAAATACTGTATGATTCTACTTATATGAGTTACCTAAAGTAGTCAAATTCATAAAACAGAAAATAGGATGCCAGTTACTAGAGATTTGAGGGGAGGAGAAAGGGGAGTTGCTGAAACAGTTTCAGATTGCAAGATGAAAACGTTCTGGAGGTCTGTTTTACAGCACTGTGAAAATAGTTAACACTACTGAACTGTATACTTAAAAATTGTTAAAATGGTATATTTTATGTGTTTTGTTACCCCACACACACAAAAGCAAATTAAACTCCAAGAAAGTAGAAGGAAGGAAAACAAATCCTAAAGTTTATAAAGCAGAAATTTCTGTGAAAACAGTGATCTGTGGATTAGCCCTACACTATGGTTAAATGTGCTTTTTTGTGTATGCAGGACAACATCTTTATACATGTTTTAAAGTTTATTATTGCTGATGCTCAGGTCAGCATTATAATGTATAGAAAAAATATATAAAAATAAGAAATCACTATGTTCTTTACGTGAAACTAATACTGTAAGTCAATTGTACTTCAATAAACAGGAAAAAGTGGAAATACTTTTCCATTTTTCATTAGGATGTTTGTCTTCTTATTATTGAGTTTATTAAATATTTTGGAAACAAGTCCTATATCAGATATATTAATTGCAAATATTTTCTCCCAGTATGTAGCTTCACTATTTATTCTCTTAATAATGTTTTTGGATGACCTGAGAATTTTGTCTTTTACATTTAGGCATGTGATTCATCTTGAATTAAATTTTGCAAATAATGTGAGGTAAGATTTGAGGGCTTATTTTTGTCCACATGGTTCCAGCACCATTTGTTGAAAATAATTTCCTTTCCCCATTAAATTGCTTTGGTGCCTTTGTCAAAAATCTATTGACTATATAATTATGGATTTATTTCTGGACTTTTAATTCTGTCTCATTGATCTGTTTGTCTATCTTTATACAAACCACATTGTCATGGTTACTATAGATTTATAGTAAGCCTTGAAAGTAAGGAAGTGTAGTTACTCCAAATTAGTTCATTTTCAAGAATGTTTTGGTTCTAAGATTTTTGTGTTTCCATATAAATTTTTGAATTGTTAATCCACTTTTTTTTAAGCTGCTGTGATCTTTATTGGAATTGATTGAGCTCTATTTGAGGAAAATTGACATCTTAACAATACTGAGCTTTGCAATCCATGAACATGGTATATTTCTCCATTTATTAAGGTCTTTTTAAATTTCTCTCAGCAATGCTTTGTAATTTTCAGTGTAGAGAGCTTACACATCTTTTGTTAAATTTATTCCTAAGCATTTATATTTTTAATAATATTGTAAATGAAATTTTAAAATTTCATTTTCCAATTGTTCAATGCTTGAGTGTGTGTGTGTGTGTGTGTGTGTGAGAGAGAGAGAGAGAGAGAGAGAGAGAGAGAGATTGCTGTTCTATGTTGACTTTATAACTTACAACCTTGTTAAATTTCTTTGATAATGTCCTTCCTTCTCTTTTCTCTCCTCTTTTCCTGAGTCTTCTATTAGTCATATTGGGCTTCCTGATTGATTTTGTCATTTTCTTACTTTTTCTTTCCTATTTTCTATCTATTTGTCTTTTGGTTCTCCTTTCTAGATGATTTTCCCTGATTTTATGTTCCAGCTCTTAGAACTTTTTTTTATTACTGTGTTATGTTAAACAGCTTCTAAGATGCTACCCAACGATCCATATCTCTGTGTAGTCCCTTCTCAAATTCTATCAAGGTTGGTCTGTATGACCAACAGAGTAAGGTGGAAGTGATGATGTATGACTTCAAAGCCTGCTTCTGACTTGCTCTTTTCTGCATCAATTACTCTGAGAGAAGTCAGCAGCCATGTCATGTAATCCAATGGAGAGGCCCACATAATGAGCTGAGGCCTCCTGTAAACAGCCAGCACTAACTTGCCAGACAGGTGTTTGAGCCATCTTAGAAAGGTGACCCTCCCACTCCAGTCAAATCTTCAGATGACTGCAGCCCCAGCTAACATTCTAACTGCAATCTTATGAGGGACCCCCCCCCCAACCACCTAGGTAATCCACT